CGCGGTGGCTCACGCCTGTAATCTCAGCACTTTGGGAGGCTGAGGCAGGTGGATCATGAGGTCAAGAGATCGAGACCATCCTGGTCAACATGGTGAAACCCCGTCTCTACTAAAAATACAAAACATTAGCTGGGCATGGTGGCGCGTGCCTGTAATCCCAGCTACTGAGGAGGTTGAGGCAGGAGAATTGCCTGAACCCAGGAGGCGGAGGTTGCAGTGAGCCGAGATCGCGCCATTGCACTCCAGCCTGGGTAACAAGAGTGAAACTCCGTCTCAAAAAAAAAAAAAAAAAAAAGATATTTCAGGCCAGGCACCGTGGCTCACACCTGTAATTTTAGTACTTTCAGAGGCCGAGGTGAGGAGATCACCTGAGGTCAGGAGTTGAGACCAGCCTGACCAACATAGTGAAACCCCATCTGTACTCAAAATACAAAAATTAGCCAGGTGTGGTGGCGGGTACCTGTAATCCCAGCTGTTTGTGAGGCTGAGGCAAGAGAATTGCTTGAACCTGGGAGGCGGAGGTTGCAGTGAGCCAAGATCACGCCACTGCACTCCAGCCTGGGTGACAAGAGCAAGACTCTGTCTCAAAAAAAAAAAAAAAAAAAAGAAAAAGGCCAGGCACGATGGCTCACCCCTGTAATCCTAGCACTTTGGGAGGCCAAGGTAGGTGGATCACTTGAGGTCAGGAGTTCGAGATCAGCCTGGCCAACATGGTGAAACCCCATTTCTACTAAAAATACAAAAAACTTTGCTGGGCGTGGTGGCATGTGCCTATAGTCCCAGCTACTCAGGAGGCTGAGGCAGGAGAATCGCTTGAACCCAGGAGGTGGAGGTTGCAGTGAGCTGAGGTCATGCCACTGCACTCCAGCTTGGGTGACAGAGCAAGACTTCTTCTAAATAAATAAATAAAGATAAAACAAAATACAAGTCTGTTGTTACGTGAATAAAAATTAATCAGATACGTATTGAGTGCCTTCGTTAAGTTTAACAGATGTTCATGTGGCTAAACTATGAGCTGTGCACTATTATAAGCCCTTTACATACATTACTTAAATCATTCTATTTTTATCCCCATTTTATTATTTATTTATTGTTACTATTATTTTGAGGTAAAGTTTCGCTCTTGTTGCCCAGGCTGGAGTGCAATGGCACAATATCGGCTCACCGCAACTTCCGCCTCCCAGGTTCAGGCAATTCTCCTGCCTCAGCCTCCCAAGTGGCTGGGATTACAGGCATGTGCCACCACACCCTGTTCATTTTTTTGTATTTTTAATAGAGACAGGGTTTCTTCATGTTGGTCAGGCTGGTCTCAAACTCATGACCTCAGCTAATCCGCCCACCTTGGCCTCCCAAAGTGCTGGGATTATAGGGGTGAACCACAGTGCCTAGCCTATTATCCCCATTTTTTAAAATTTTACGATTCTCTTTGCCATAAAGACAACCGCCATAAAATAGTATCCCCATTTTACAGATGAGGCAGAAAGAGGTTAGTGAAGTAACTTGCCAAGAACAAGTTCCAGGCCTTGGGATAGGGCCTGCCCGTCCTTCAGTGTCCCTTCAAAAGAACTCCTGCTCTGGAAAGCCTTCCCTGACCTTCCTGGCAGAAAGTGACCTCCCCAGAGGAAGTTCTATGACAGGAAGTCCCTTCCCCAACAGATGTGTCCCACACACCCTGGGTTGTAAAATCCTCCCAGCTGAGGCTTGGCTCCCATTCAGGTGTGGATGGCAAGTCAGCAGCCAGTCAGCCCTGCCAGCAACTTACTGGCCTCTTTGCTTTCATCTGTAGCCCCTGGAGGTACCCTGAGGAGGCCAGACCTAATATGGCCTAATCCCTAATATGAGGGATGCACGCGGTGGAAGGACCTAGAGTGAAGGGTCCTCATCCTTCAGCAGCTGGAGATCTGAGCATCCGCCCAACCCCAGCAGATGTGGGAAAGAACTGGGACAGGGTAGGGGCTGGGCACAGTGGCTCACTCATACCTGTAATCCTAGTACTTTGGAAGACCCAGGTGGGCAGATCGCTTGAGGTCAGAAGTTCGAGACCAGCCTGGCCAACATGGTGAAACTCTGTCTCTACTAAAAAAAAAAAAAATACAAAAATTAGCTGGGTGTGGTGGTGTGCACCTGTAGTCCCAGCTACTCCGGAAGCTGAGACAGAAGAATTGCTTGAACCCAGGAGGCAGACGTTGCAGTGAGCCGAGATCTGGCCACTGTACTCCAGCCTGGCAACAGAGCAAGACTCCATCTAAAAAAAAAAAAAAAAAAAAAAAGAATTGGGACAGGAAGTCAGCGTATCCTGGCTTCTCCCAAAACAATGATGTGACTTTCCCTTTCCTATACCTCAGTTTCCTTTTTTTTTTTTTTAAAGACGGGATTTTACCGTATTGGTCAGGCTGGTCTTGAACTCCTGACCTTAGGTGATCCACCCGCCTCAGCCTGCCAAAGAGCTGGGATTACAGGTGTGAGCCACCTCGCCTGGCTACCTCAGTTTCCTCACTGGTAAAATGATAAGGTTGGCTGGGGAGAGCCCACCAGGAACCCAGGGCACGTCCTATGGGAATGAGCAAAAAATGTCTTTTCTCAGGAAAGTTGTGGAGTTCCTGGGTGGCAAGTTGCCTGCTGCACTTTAATTCATTAATTGAGCATCTATTATGTGAAGGCAGTGTCTGAAGCACTGGGGATACTTCAAAGAACCTGTCCTGCCATGCAGGAGCTCACTTTGGGATGCCTCCGGCCTCCACCCACTGGGGCTGCTGGCTCCTTACTAATGGACCAGGTCCTTCCAAGCAGGCTGTGGAGCAGGACTGAGGCCTGGAAGAGAGAGAGGTCGTGTTCACCCTCCAGCTTCACCCCTCCTGTGGGGCGACCTGCCTGTCTGGGCATTAGTTTCCTCACCCTCTTTTATGGACTGAAAATTTGTGTCCTCCGAAAACTCACACAAGGAAGTGCCAACTCTCAATAAGATGGTATTTGGAGGGGGGCCTTCAGGAAGTCATTAGGATTAGATGATGTTGTGAGGGTGGGACCCTACAATGGGATGAGTGTCCTTATAAGAAGGCAGAGAGATCATGTGAGAACACAGCAAGAGTGCCACCGTCTTCCAGCCAGGAAGAGGCTTTGCCAGGAGCCAAACCTGCCAGCACTGTGCTCTTGGACTTCTTAGCCCTCAGAACTGCGAGAAATAAAAGCCTGTCATTAAGCCACCCAGTTTCTGGTATTGCATTATAGCAGCCTGAGCTGACTGAGACACCGTCCAAGGGGGAGTCAGACTGGGTGGTCCCACCAGCCAGGGAGGGTGTCCACCTCTGGGAAGAGTCTCCCACAGCCATTCCTGGTTAAACATTACCTGTTCCCGCTCCCTGCCTCCCTGCCACTCCCTCTCCCAGCCACCTCCTCAGGGAGCCATAAACGCTGCCTTCTTTGGTTTTCTCCCAGGACTGTGGGGTTCTGGAAAAAGCTGTACCGGCTGTCACCTCTGCTGGAAGCCAGGGTCTAGAGGGGAAAGACTGGGGGTCCAGGGCAGAGGGGACCCTCGGGCTCTAGCCCCTCCACACACACACATACATGCACATACACACTCCCGTGCACACACACACATACATGCACACACACTCCCGTGCACACACACACATACATGCACACACACACTCCCGTGCACACACACACGCACACACACAGGTGTTTCTTCTTAGTCCCATGATGCACAGGGCTCCCGCAGATCCTCCCAGGGGAGCTCATGGGCTGGGTTAATGAGCTCCTCAGGTGCCTGCCTCAGGCAAGATGCCCCAGCCTTCCTGGTTTCTGGGAAACAGTAATTCAGAGAAACAGGGATGGCCTCACTGCATGGGGCATCCCACTCCAGCCTCTGCCCCTAGTCCCCTCAGAGGCAAGGAGGGCAAGGCCCAGCTGTCATGCCCAATCCCGCCCACCCAGGCATTTTAAATCAGGATCCTGCATTAGTAATACTAGAATCCAGAATATGACACCGCAAATCTCAGGAGGGGGAATCCTTGCCACAAAGCACTTCACAGTATCCCAAGAGCTTTCTTCTCATCTCATTCCTTCCCATCTTCAAAACAACGGTCAAATAGATATCATTTCTTTGTGATCGCCAAAACACTGAGGCTCCAGGTGATAAACGGTGAGTGGAGTTCCAGAACTCAGAGTCACGTCTTTTGACTCTGAAACCCAGACTTGTTTTATGCTTGGTTCTAGGGATAGCAGGGGACTGCTGCTTTCCACACCTCTGCTCATAACAGACGTCACTAATCGGTCATGGTTTGGCAGATATTGCTAATCAATTGCAGTACTCTTTTTTACTAAGCTCAGAGGCATCCATGAACTCTTTAAAACAACGTTCAGCCACCATCACCTATCAGAAGATCACATCTGTAGTGTTTGCCATTCTTGTGATCCCACAACATCAGCCATGAGCCCTCAGGTCTCAGGTACAACCCCAAAATGCTGTAGTCACTAGACCGCAGGACCCTACATACTGCATGCATGCTGCTCTTGGACGTTACTGGCCCTTCTTTACAATAACCCAAGAGCTACTGGCCCCTCTGGCCCCCAGAGGCCCCATCCAAGTGTGGTCTCTCTTAGAGACAGAACAACAGTGCAGATATGCCTGGGGCTTCAGGCTTTGCTTTATTTTTATCTTTAAAATTTTAATTAATTAATTTTTTTGAAACAAGGTCTTGCTCTATTGCCCAGGCTGGAGTGCAGTGGTGAGATCATAGCTCACTGTAGACTTGAACTCCTATGCTCGAGTGATCCTCCCATCTCAGCCTCCTGAGTAACTGGGACTACAGGTGTGTGCCACCATGCCCCGCCAATTTTTTGTATTTTTATTAGAGATAAGGTCTTGCTGTGTTGCCCAGGCTGGTCTCAAACTCCTGAGCTCAAGTGATCCTCCTGCCTGGGCCTCCCAGAGTACTTGGATTACAGGCATAAACCACTGCACCCAGCCTAACAAAATTATTTTTTTCCCCATGTTACAGGTTTGGAAACAGTAACACAGATGAAATTATGAACCCAAGTCACGCAGCTTGGAAGCTGGGCTCCTAACCACTGGACATCAATCTTTCCACTGCCACTTGGTCTGTTGTATGAAAACACTCATGTATCCATCTGTTCTTCCTAACACATTGCTTGTTTTTGCAGATATGCTTCAATAGTGGTCTCAGAAGGTTTGGGGGTGGTTGCATTATCTGGCTTAGTTCCTGCCGTGAGCCTGGGAGTGTGTAGTTGTACCATCCTCCAGCCCAGACCCTTACAGATGAGAAAATTAAGGCTCAGAGGAGAGTCACTTTCTGAAAGCTGGACAGCTCCAGTGTGGGCTGTGATCTGGAGTTCCCCAAATTCCAGAGCCCAGAGGCTCTCTCTTACCTCACAGGAGCCCTCAGTCCTCACTGGCTTCTCCTCTCAGCTCAGTCCCTGGCTGCCTGGCCTTTCTCCCCTGGAACACCCTCCCCACACCTGGCCTTTGGTTTTCCATCCTCTCCACGCTCCACTGTTCTCTTTCCAGAGAAGGGGCCCAACCGGAAGGCCAGTTCATATTAGGAAATTCTAGCCACGTGAGCAGCCCTAAGCCAGGGATTCTGGGCAGCTGGTGGCTTTAGGAGAAACTGAAACTTGGTTCTCTGGGGGCGGGCGGAATGGTGACTGGGGATTAAAAGAGCTGTCGCTTCCTCAGGCCTCCAGAGGGCACTGGGAAGTCACAGCTGCTGAGGGACGCCTCTGCTCCCCCGCCTAAGCCATGCACCTCTGCGGGGGCAACGAGCTGCTGACCGGGACAGTGAGTACAGGGGATTGGAGATGGGGGAGCAACCCAAGGATCCCCAGTGCCAGGCAGTGAGGGCTGCAGGCGGGAGTGCCCAGTCCCAGCTCTATACTCTGAGCTGTGTGACAGAGGGCTCGACATGCCCTTCTCTGGGTCTCACCTTCCTCCCCAGGGGGTTGGAAATGAGGCATTTCCAGTTCTCATGTTGCAGGTCCAGCCTCTGGTTTAGGACTTGGCCTCTATGTACTTGCCCTCTCCTAACGTACCTATTCCCCCCCACTACCCTCACAGGAGCCTTTCCTTCCTTCTCCAAATAACCCAGGCCTGCTGGGCGCGGTGGCTCACGCCTGTAATCCTAGCCCCTTGGGAGGCCAAGACGGGTGGATCACATAAGGCCAGGAGTTCAAGACCATCCTGGCCAACATGGTGAAACCCCATCTGTACTAAAAATACAAAAATTAGTCGGGTGTGGCAGGGCACGTCTGTAGTTTCAGCTACTCGAGAGGCTGAGACAAGAGAATTGCTTGAACCCAGGAGGCGAAGGTTACAGTGAGCTGAGATTGTGCCACTGCACTCCAGCCTGGGCAACAGAGAGAGATTCTGTCTAAATAAAATAAAAGAAAATAAAATAGGCTGGGCGCAGTGGCTCACGCCTGTAATCCCAGCACTTTGGAAGGCTGAGGCGGGTGGATCACGAGGTCAGGAGATCGAGACCATCCTGGCCAACATCGTGAAACCCCATCTCTACTAAAAATACAAAAATTAGCTGGGCGTGGTGGCTCATGCCTGTAATCCCAGCTACTCAGGAGGCTGAGACAAGAGAATCGCTTGAACCTGGGAGCTGGAGGTTGCAGTGAGCTGAGATCATGCCACTGCACTCCAGCCTGGGCGACAGAGAGAGACTCTGTCTCAATAAAATAAAATAAAATAAATTCCCTGTGCCATGGTTTCCTTTGGAGGCTCTGCCCTTCTCACAGGAACCTCTTTCACTCACCGTGGGCCCTGTCTCAGCCTCTGTCTCTTGGTGCCCCCGTGTTTACAGTGAGCCTGCTGTGGACACGGCCCCAGGGAGCATATGGCCAGGGTACAGCTGTGGCAGGAGCCTAGGAGCATTCAGAATCTGCAGCCAGGGCGGCCATGGTCTTGGCTGAGGTCCTTACCCTCAGAACATACACTCCAGAGAGACCTGGGGGAGAGGGCTGGGCTGTGAGCACTCCAACAGTTCCTCTTGCTCTGACTTTGCAGAGCTTTGGACATTTGGATAAAATATTCCGTCTAAGTTTCATTGACCCCAGGGTACAGGGTGGTCACAACTGTCAACTTTTGAGTCCACTCTTCCGCCAGCATGAACCCTTCATTCATTCATTCGTTCTTGGCTACCACCTCACTAGAATGTGAGCAGTTTGAGGGCAGGGATTTGTGTATATTTTTTTTGCTATCATGTCCCCCTAGCTTAGTGCCTGGAACATAGTTGGTGCTTATACATGCTTGTTGGGTATATGAATATCTGCTTTGGGCTTGAGCTGGGCATGGGCACAGGGAGCCACATCTCCCTTCACAGAGCTCACAGTTAGGAAAGTCCACACCTTGGTGTGGAGATCATGGCAATGAGAAGAATGGCAGCTGAGCTTTATGCCACGCCGCTCTGGGCTGCCTGCCACATGGGCCTTCCCCCTCTGCTGTCATGCTTCCGTTGCAGGGATGGGGCGACTAGGCTCAAGAATGTGGGCTTGGCCGGGCACGGTGGCTCACACTTGTAATCCCAGCACTTTGGGAGGCCAAGACTGGTGAATCACCTGAGGTCAGGAGTTTGAGACCAGACTGGCCAACATGGTGAAACCCCATCTCTACTAAAAATACAAAAATTAGCCAGGCATGGTGGCACGTGGCTGTAGTCCCAGCTACTTGGGAGGCTGAGGCAGGAGAATCACTTGAACCTGGGAGGCAGAGGTTGCAGTGAGCCAAGATCACACCACTGCACTCCAGCCTGGGCAACAAAGCAAGACTCTGTCTCAAAAAAAAAAAAAAAGAAAGAAGAAAGAGAGAGAGAGAGAATGTGGGGTTTGAAGTCAGCTCTGTCCGAGTTTGAATCTCAGGCTTCCCATCCTCCCTGCTTTCCCTCCCTGCCTCAACGTGAGCTGTGAGCAAGACACAGGGGTGAGGCTGGCGTGGCAACAGGGTGTGCAGTGCCTGCTATGGGGGTTGTGGGTGCCAAGTGAGCTTCTGGGAGAACAAAGACCCTCAGGAACTTGACTCAAAGGGAAACCCTTGGCCTTATGAATGGCGGGCCAGGACGGAGTGCACCAGGCCTGTCTGGGACCCCTAAGTCCTCTGCCTCGTGCCCTTCAGGACTTTGAGGAGCATCAAAGGCAGCTGAAGAAGAAGCAGAAGAACCGGGCAGCGGCCCAGCGAAGCCGGCAGAAGCACACAGACAAGGCAGACGCCCTGCACCAGGTGCGGACAACCCCTTTCCTTGTCTCTGTCTCCACTTACTGGCCCAGCCACCTCTTCTCACCCCACCTGTGAGCAGATCTCCCCCAAACTCCTGTATTTTTCTAGGTCACCTGAGTTTGGGATGAGGAAAGGGTCCAGTGGCTGAGATTTGGAAATGTCTGGGTGTTGAGTACAAACCATGTGCTAGGTACACACCAGGCTTCAGGGACACAAAGGGTTATCCTCAGCCCCGCCTTGCCTTAAGGTGCCCACAGTCTAGGGGAAGGAAGACAGGAAGTGGAGGCAAATTGGGAGACACCAACACAATGGCCAGCTGAGGCACTGATTAAAATGCAGATTCTAGGCTGGGCATAGTGGCTCACGCCTGTAATCCTAGCACTTTGTGAGACTGAGGCTGGAGGATTGCTTGAGCCCAGGAGTTCAAGGCTGCAGTGAGCCATGATTGCACCACTGCATCCAACCTGGGCAACAGATCGAGACCCTGTCTACAGAAAAAAAAAAAAGTGGATTATTCCTCCTCTGCCAGGTCTCACTTCATAAGGCCAAGTGAGGCCCAGGGACCTGCATGGTGATCTGTGATTAATCACCTCGGGGTCAGAGTTCAGGAGGTGACCAAGAGAACTCTGGTTTAGGGTCAAGATGGGTGTGGCTTCCAGTCCCAGTTGTAAGTTACTTCCTTTACTGAGCTTCATGCTCATCTGAAAATACCATAGACGCTGGCTAAAAAACCAGACATTTATTTCTTCCAGTTCTGGAGGCTGGGAAGTCCAGGATCAAGGTGCCAGCCAGTTCAGTTCAGGCGAGGGTGCTCTTCCTGACTCGTAAGTGGCTGCCTTCTCTCTGTGTGCTCATGGTCTCTCAGTGCACGGGAGAGGACAGGGTGATCTCTTTCCCTTCCTCTCCTTTTTGGTGTTTGTTGTTGTTGTTGTTTTGTTTTTGACTCTTGTTGAGTTTTGCTCTTGTTGCCCAGCCTGTAGTGCAATGGCACAATCTCGGCTCACCACAACCTCCACCTCCTGGGTTTAAGCAATTCTCCTGCTTCCGCCTCCCGAGTAGCTGGGATTACAGGCATATGCCACCATGCCCAGCTAATTATTGTATTTTTAGTGGAGATGGGGTTTCTCCATGTTGGTCAGGCTGGTTTCAAACTCCCGACCTCAGTTTGTCCACCCACCTCGGGTTCCCAGACTCCTGGGATTACAGGCGTGAGCCACCGCTCCACCTGTTTTCTTTTTTTTTAATTGAGACAGAGTCTCACGCTGTCACCCAGGCTGAAGTGCAATGGCCCTATCTCAGCTTACTGCAACCTCTGCCTCCGGATTCAAGTGATTCTCCTACCTCAGCTTCCTGAGTAGCTGGGATTACAGGCATGTACCACTAGGCCTGGCTAATTGTTGTATTTTTGGTAGAGACGGGGTTTCACCATGTTGGCCAGGCTGGTTTTGAACTCCTGGCCTCAAGTGATCTACCCGCCTTGGCCTTCCAAAGTGCTGGGATCACAGGCATGAGCTGCCGCACCCGGCCTTCTCCTTTCTAATTTTTAAAATTCATTTATTGTTTATTTACTTATTATTTCTTTTATTTTTATTTTTAAATACAGATGGGGGTCTAGCTATGTTGCACAGGCTGGTCTTGAACTCCTGGGCTCAAGCAATGCTTCCACCTCCACCTCCCAAAGTGCTGGGATTACAGGCACAAGCCACCATGCCTGGCCCCTTCCTTGTTTTTTTTTTTTTTTTTTTTTTTTTTTTTTTTTTTTTGAGAGGGTCTTGCTGTGTTGTCCAGGCTAGAGTGTGGTCCATGATCTTGACTCACTGCAACCTCAGCTTCCCAGGCTCAAGCAATCCTCCCACATCAGTCTCCCAAGTAGCTGATACTATAAGCATGCACCACTACACTTGGCTAATTTTTGTATTTTTTGTGGAGACAGCGTTCCTCCATGTAGCCCAGGCTGGTCTTGAACTCCTGGACTCAATTGATCCACCCACCTCAGCCTCCCAAAGTGCTGGGATTACAGGCTTCAGCCACTGCTCCCAGCCTCCCTTCCTCTTCTTATAAAGCCACCAATCCTATCAGATTAGAACCCTATCCTCTATCCTAGGACCTTATTTCATCTAAATTACTTTCTAAGAGCCTTATCTCTAATCGTAATCACACTGGGGGTTATGGCTTCAACATATAAATGTTGGAGGAAACACATGGAGTCTATAGCACACAGGTAGTGGCATAGTGGGTGGTCTGAAGAGGAGATGAGCCGGACTTGGTGGCTGACACCCATCTCTACTAAAAATCCTATTTCTACCAAAAATACAAAAATTAGCCACACATGATAGCTAATTAGCCAATCCCAGCAGCTGGGATTAGAAGCATGTGGTAGCTAATTAGCCAGTGCCAGTAGTGGGATTACCGGCACATGGTGGCTAATTAGCCAATCCCAGTAGCTGGAGCATTAGAATTACTTGAATCTGGGAGGTGGAGGTTGCAGTGAGCTGAGATTGTGTCACTGCACTTCAGCCTGGGTGACAGAGACTCTGTCTCAAAAAAAAAAAAAAAAAAGAAGAAGAAGAAGGAGAAGTATGAGCTGATCTTTAAGGATGAATGAGAGTTTCCCCAGAGGATGAAGCTAAGAAAACGCTTTGGAGACAAATGACACAGTTCTGGCACAGGCGTGGGGAGCAGCACCCTGTAGACTTGGTGAGAGTGAGGACTGGTGCTCAGAATGGTGCCGAGGAGACCCATGCGTTCATTTATTCCTTCCTTCCGGAAACGCCTGTTGAGTGTCTCCTGTGTGCCAGGCACTGTTCTAAGCACTGGAGATAGAGCTGTGGACACATAGACAAAAACCCACCCCAGCTCCACCCACAGGGCTCCTATTCTCCTGGGGAAGCCAGACCAACAAACAAAGGATCCCTGCAGTGGTCAGGATGTCAGATGGTGTCAGATCCTGTTGAGAAAAAAGGGAAGAGGGAAGGAACGAAATTGCAATTGTCACTCCTTGAGTGGTGATGTTTGATTCTCCTGAAGGTGGCAAACGAATGAATAAATGAATGAGTGAGTGGCTCAGCTCCTGGAGGTGAGTTGAAGCCTTTACAGCATTTAGGCGAAGGCTGACATAATGATACATTTTAGAAATGTTCATCACTCCACCTGCAGAGACAGAGTCTGGGAGTGGGGCCGCTGGTGGCTTTCAGGCCTGTTAGAACTTTGAGTCCAGGGCCAAAACCACACTTCTAAGCAAAACACCCTTGGAACTTCTTCTTTCAAAGTGTCCAGAAAAGGGGGTGGGGGGACTGAAGGAAGTCGTTCAATTTACTCAGCCCTATGAGATGCAGACATAAAATTCTTTCTGCATTTTTATCATTATTGTTAATGGTTATTTAGAGCTGCATATTGATAGTGTCTCAGAGGTTCTCAGAACTGGCGTTCAGCAGAATAGAGCTTAATAAACACTGATTCAGGGGTGCAGAATCGAACACACTCGTGCTGTCAACCTGTAAAACAAGCCCCTGAATCTTCCCACAGTGCTCGTCAGAGCGAGTTCTGGGCCCTCTAAAGTTCTGGCAGTGTTAGTAAGCAGTCTAGGACAATATGACATCAAGTTGCCACGGGAAGGCCCTGTTGGGATTTGCAGGGGGGAGGGCGGTGGAAGGGTGTCCAGGCAGAGGAAACAGGAAATGTGGCAGAGAAGCAGAGTTCATGTGACGGTCAGGAAGGGAGGGAAGCAAGAAAGAAGGCGGGAGAGAGAAGACCAGAAGTCTGAGCTGTGGCCACCACACAGGCCTGGAATCTTACAACAGTGAATTTGATGGGAGCCTCTAAAGGGCTTTAACCTGCAATTAATGACATGGTCGCCAAATGACTCCTGTGGGCAAAAGGTGGGAATGGGTGGTTTGGGGGGCACACGCGTTGGCAGCCCATGGAGATCCCAGGTGAGAAATGGCACCAGCTCAGGGCACCAGCGATGGGATGAGAGCAGGCAGATCTGAGCCCCCTCGGGGTGGGATGGGGGATACGCGGTGGATGGTTATGAAGGGCTGGCCAGGCACTTGGCTATTCCGATGCTGGTGGCGTCTTTCTCCTGAAGTCGAGGACCTTGGAAGGGGCCAAGGCTCTTACAGGGCCCCTGACACTGGCTGAGTTCCCTCCTCGCCCATCTACTTCTCTGCAGCAGCACGAGTTTCTGGAGAAAGACAACCTCACCCTGCGGAAGGAGATCCAGGCCCTGCAGGCCGAGCTGGCATGGTGGAGCCAGACCCTGCACGTGCATGAGCGCCTGTGCCCCATGGATTGTTCCCCCTGCTCAGCTCCAGGGCTTCCGGGTTGCTGGGACCAGGCTGAGGGGCTCCTGGGCCCCAGGCCAGAGGGACAACATGGCTGCCCGGAGCAGCTGGAGCTGTTCCAGAGCCCAGACTCCTGCTCCCCAGCTCAGCCGCTCTCTCCAGGTCCACATTCTCATGATTCACCTGGCCTCCTCCAGTCCCCTCTGCACTCACTGGCCCTTAGCCCCACTGTGGTTCCCAGACCTCCCATCCAGCTGTCCCCCAGCCCTCTTCTGTTTTCTTCACACACTGGCTTCAGCCTGCTGGGGACTTCCTCTAAGCTCAGTGCCCTCCAGCCCAGCCCCATGGCCCAAACTGCCCCTCCACAGCCCCTCGACCTGGAGCACCCCGCCAAAGAGAAGCTGGGGTCCTCTCCCGACAACCCTTCCTCTGCCCTGGGGCTTGCATGTTTGCAGAGCAGAGAACACAAGCCTGCTCTCTCGGTGGCCGCTTGGCAAGGGCTGGGTGTCGATCCCAGCTCTCACCCTCTCCTGGCCTTTCCTCTGCTCTCCTCTGCTCAAGTCCACTTCTAACCTGGTCCTTGGAGCTGGGTTGGCCCCTTCTTTGGGCTCAGGAAGCATCCTTAACACACAGGCATCTCCTCCCTTGCTACTGAGGGCTGCCCTGCGTGACTGACCAGCTGGTCCAGGGTTTCACAGTGGAAAAGGAAGCCATCACTGATGCCTCCCACTGTGACAGGCCCTGTCACCATCAATATCTTGTTTCAACCTTACAGTTGACCTGAAAAACTGCAATTATCACTCCACTTTTTCAGATGAGGAAACACAGCCTCAGGGAAGCCAAATGACAAATCCAAGGTCACAAAATCTTTCCTGGGGCCTGAAGCACCACCCTCTGCTCCTCCTCCTCCTATCCTGGCCCAGGCAGACTAGCGGCTGAAATCCTGGAAACTGAGGGCTGATGTGAGAAGGTTTGTGTGCTGGGAGCAGGACAGGGCTCTCCCTGCTGCTTCGTAATTCCAGGGCCAGAGCCCTGCAGGCCCAGCAACCCCGACCCAGCTGGGGCAGGTCCAGTGCGAGCAAGGGCCAAACAGAAGCTCTGAGGTGGACTCTTGCTTCCCCTTCCCCTAGAAGTGTTTTCAGTGCCAAGAAGCTGAACCTGGCCAGGGGCAGTGGCTCATGCCTGTAACCCCAGCACTTTGGGAGGCTGATGCCGGTGGATCACCTGAGGTTGGGAGTTTAAGACCAGCCTAACCAACATGGAGAGACCCCGTCTCTACTAAAAATACAAAATTAGCCAGGCGTGGTGGTGAATGCCTGTAATCCCAGCTACTAGGGAGGCCGAAGCAGGAGAATCGCTTGAACTCGGGAGGTGGAGGCTGCAGTGAGCCGAGATAGTGCCACTGCACTCCAGCCTGGGCAAGAGCGAAGCACTGATTCAAAAAACAAAGAGGCTGAACCTGTGGGCTGGAGCTGGGGAGAGGCCTAGAATAGGCCCATCCGGGATTTCTACAGCCTGGGTACCCATAGCCACACCAAGGCTTCTGGAAGATTCTGCAGGGTCAGCTCTCTAGGCTGTTCCCAAATAGCTCCCTGCCTCCCCACTGCCCCTAAAGCCACAGGGGAAGAGCCATTCATCTCATAAACAAAAAGCAAGAGGAAAGAACGAGGAAGGATCCTGTGCAAGGTTATTTTCAAGCAGTGATGAACTTACACCTGACAGCAGGGAGGTTAGACCTTTCCTGGCAGCACCCACACCTGTGTGGCCCCCAGGTCCCCACTGCCCTCAGACCCCTCCTAAGCAGTTTCCTCATTGCTCTTTGGCCTGGGCTGATGGCAGGAAGAGCAGGGCCCAGGACCAGGAGGGGGCTCAGTGATGGTGCTGCTTCAAGAGGGGGTTTTGTACTCTGACTCCAGGATAAGCACTCTAAGGGGGGCTGGGGAGAGAAACCCTGGCCATTCACCCAGGTTTTACACACACGTAAATGAAGCACTGTTAGTATTTAACACATTCCTGGATGCTGAGCACAAGTCTTGGCACATATGTGATGGCAAATAAAGTGTTTTGCAATCTTTTCTGCTTTGCCTAGTTGCTTCAAACTCTGGTTGTAATCCATAGTCTTTGAAAGAAGAGAGAATAATAGAGAGGGGCAACTCCTCAAGAACCACCTGATTGATTTCCCTCCCATACTACAGATGAGGAAACCAAGGCTCAGCAATGAGATGGACTTGCCCAAGTGTATTAGTCAGTATTCTCGAGAGAAATAGAACCAAGAGGATGTGTGTGTGTGTGTGTGTGTGTGTGTGTGTGTGTGTGTGTGTGTGTGTCTGTGTGTGTGTGGAGAGAGACAGAGATTTATTAATTTTTTTTGTTTTTGAGACGGAGTTTCGCTCTTGTTGCTCGGATTGGAATGCAATGGTGCAATCTCGGCTCACTGCAACCTCTGCCTCCTGGATTCAAGTGATTCTCCTGCCTCAGCTTCCCTAGTAGCTGGGATTAGAGGTGCCTGCTACCACGCCGGTAATTTTTGTATTTTTAGTAGAGACAGCATTTTGCCATGTTAGGCTGGTCTCAAACTCCTGACCTCAGGTGATCCGCCCGCCTCAGCCTCCCAAAGTGCTGGGATTACAGGCGTGAGCCACCACACCCCGCTGAGAGAGATTTATTTTAAGAAATTGGCTAGGCTGGGCGTGGTAGCTCATGCCTATAATCCCAGCACTTTGAGAGGCTGAGGCAGGTGGATCACATGAGGTCAGGAGTTCAAAACCAACCTGACCAACACAGTGAAACCCCGTCTTTACTAAAAATACAAAAATTAGCTGGACATTGTGGCATTGACCACTTATCTCAGCTACGAGGGAGACTGAGGCAGGAGAATCTCCTGAACCCGGGAGATGGATGTCGCAGTGAGCCGAGACTGCACGATTGTACTCCAGCCTGGGCAACAAGAGTGAAACTCCATCTCAAAAAAAAAAAAAAGAAAAAAAGAAAAGAAAAGAAATGGACTCATGTTCGTGTAAGTATGGAGGTTGGCAAGTCGAAATTCTTCAGGGTGAACTGCCAGGCTGGAGCCCCAGGAAAGTGTTGCTGTTGCATTTCAGGTCCACAGGCCACCAGCTGCAGAACTTACACTGGCTTGGAGGTCAGTTTTTTTGTTCTATTCAGGTCTTCAGTTGATTGGATGAAGCCCATCTACATTATGGAGGGGCAACATGCTTTATTCAAAGCCCACCAATTTCAATGTTGATCTCAGTCCAAAGCACATTCACAGAAACATTAAGAATAATGTTTAATCACATATGTGGGCAGTGTGGTCCAGCCAAGAGGACACACACAAGTAACCATCGTGCCAGGTTCACACAGCAAAGGGAAGTCACAGGGCTGTGGATGGCAGCGTTCACGGTCACCAGCCGATTCAGGGAGAGCAAACTGGTGGGAGGGAAGTCAAGATGCTGTTGATTGGAGGTGGGCTGGAGTCTGAGACAGGAGTCAACATGCTCTGAGCACGAGGACTCGGTGGGTGATGAGGACACCATGTTGCGCTGTGTCTGTATACCCTAAAGTATAGCAGGCTCTGTGCTGTTTTAGTTGGATTAACTCAATGATGCCTCTAGTAACCCTGTGACGTATGCTTCTCGTCCCTAAGAAGAGGAAATTTTCTTTGAGCTAGAGCTGTAAGAAAAAGAGAGAAAGGGAAACTGAGGCCTAGAGGTGGTAAGCAATAAGTCCAAGGTCACAAAGCTATGAAACTATATAGACTTGATTCAATAATCAGGGTCTCTTAGCCACAGGCAACCCAGCCTTCAACCTTCCTGGACTCTCCTTGCAGGCCGGGACGGCAGGGGCAGCACATGCTAACAGATATGACCCAAGAAGGTAAAACTCTACCCCACCCTCAAACAAACAGATGGGAGTGATTCCATTAATGCTGTTATGCTCACATGATGGACTACCGTAGAGCTGAATACAGAATGCTTGGCTGGGCACGGTGGCTCACACCTGTAATTCCAGCACTTTGGGAGGCCGAGGCAGGTAGGTCACAAGGTCAGAAGTCGAGACCAGCCTGGCCAACATGGTGAAACCCTGCCTCTACTAAAAATACAAAAATTAGCCGAGCATGCTGTGGTGAGCCTGTAATCCCAGCTATAGCTACTCGGGAGACTGGGGCAAGAGAACTGCTTGAACCTGGGAAGCAGAGATTGCAGTGACAAAAAAAAAAAAAAAGAAAAAAAAAAGAATGCTTTAGGCCAGGCACAGTGGCTCACACCTCTAATCTCAGCACTTTGGGAGGCTGAGGCCTGTGGATCACTTGAGATCAGGAGTTCAAGACTAGCCTGGGCAACATGGTGAAACCCCGTCTCTTCTAAAAATACAAAAATTAGCTGGGTGTGGTGTCACGTGCCTATAATCCCAGCTACTCAGGAGGCTGAAGCAGGAGAATCACTTGAGCCTGGGTGGCAGAGGTTGCTGTGAGCTGAGATCGAGCCACTGCACTCCAGCCTGGGTGACAGAGTGAGACTCTGTCTCAAAAAATAAATAAATAAATAAAAGAATGCTTTGAAGACTGTTTAATATGGTCAGAAGACGCAACTTACTAAGAAGAAAAATAGAATATTTAACTGTCACTATAGTTGGACATTACATTTGTTTAAAATCATAAACAGAAAAAAGAGTGGGAGGAAATGTAGATTCCTCAGGAGGGATAAGTGCTAATTTCTGTGAGTCCCTAAATATGTAAACACAGCTACCACTGTAGCATAAACCTCCTGCATAGCCGAAAATGTCCTAGATATATATATCTGGGTGCATTCATGATCTGTTACTGCATAATAAACTACTCCCAAACTTAGTGTCTTTTTTTTTTTTTGAAACAGAGTCTCACTCTGTTGCCCAGGCTGGAGTGCAGTAGCACAATCTCGGCTCACTGCAATCTCGGCTCACTGTAATCTCAGCTCACTGCAATCTCTGCCTCCCAGTTTCAAGCAATTCTCCTGCCTCCGCCTCCCGAGTAGCTGGGATTACAGGTGCCTACCATCACCCCTGCCTAATTTTTGTATTTTTAATAGAGACAGGATTTTGTCATGTTGGCCAGGCTGGTCTTGAACTCCTGACCTCAGGTGATTCGCCCGCCTTGGCCTCTCAAAGCACTGGGATTACAGGCGTGAGCCACCACACCCTATCCCTTATGTCTTAAGTAACAAACACATACCATCCCAGGGTCTGGGTTAATAGCATTCATCCCAGGGTCTTTTTTATTTTTTTGAGATGGAGTTTCAGTCTTGTCGCCCAGGTTGGAGTGCAATGGCGTGATCTTGGCTCACTGCAACATCCACCTCTCAGGTTCAAGCAATTCTCCTGCCTCAGTCTCCCAAGAAGCTGGGACTACAGGCGCCCACCACCACACCCAGCTAAATTTTGTATTTTTAGTAGAGAAGGGATTTCATTGTCCAGGCTGGTCTCGAACGCCTGACCTCAGGTGGTCTGCTCGCCTTGGCCTCCCAAAGCGCTGGGATTACAGGTGTGACCCACACCACACCCAGCCTCATTTATCATCTTCTATTCACTAGAGGCAAGTCACTAGGTTCAGCCACACTCAAGGGAAGAGGATTACACAATGGCATGAAAACCAGGCAGCGGGCTCCTGGGGGCTCTCCTGGAAGCTGCCTACCACACTGGGTAAGAACCAGCGCCTTCTCTGGCTCTCTTCTCATTCCCTTTATCACCAGCACTGGTCATCCGCTTTCTTTGGAGAGGGTATTTCAGAAGGAAAAACTCTGCATTCCTTTACAAGAGAGGCAATGTTCCCAGCAGTGAGCAGAGATCTGGTGAGTTCTGGATGAGAGAGCTGGAAACTTCCTTTGTCCTCTCACTGAGTGGGACCAGAGAACTCCATCATCCACAGAGGGACCTCGCAGAGTCTTTTCAGTTGCATCAGCTGGAATAGGGGAAACGATGGTTGAGGTTGAGAAACTGAGGCTTAGGATAGAAGGAACCTCTCTAGTAAGTAAAAAAGTGAAACAGATGCAGGAGCCAGGGTCATGAAAGCACCACCAGCAGCAAAGTGGCCTTGAGAAATCTTTCTTTCTCTCTTGCCTTTCTTTCTTTCATTGAGTCATTCTGTAATTCATTCAGTCACATTGTCAGTCAGTTAATACATATTAAGCACCTGCTATGTGCCAATCCCTGCTCTTAAGGTACTAATAATAAAATCAAGAGAGACAGATAATAAAT